TTGGATTGTGATTCAGGCAGAAGACGGCAAGAAAATTGAAAAATTAAAAAAAGGAAAAATTTCCCGGCTACTTGTCCATTTTGCTTCGGTTTTTTTAACGTTTTGGGTGTTCTAACTTTTTTTTTTTGAGTGACATAACTCTAGTTTGAATAGTCTATTACAACTTTTTGTTTAATGGAAAAAAATTATCAATTTTGTATGGATGAATTTGCAGCAGTGGTCGAGGACTCACAGAAGGCATATCAGGAGGCTTTTGACATTGCCAAGTCAAAAATGCAGCCTACACATCCGATAAGGCTCGGTCTTGCCCTCAACTTCTCAGTTTTTTATTACGAAATCATAAATTCCCCGGCAAGGGCTTGCCACTTGGCAAAGCAGGTTAGGGTGTAATGTGTTCAATTTTGTTTGTGAATTTAATTTTCTTTACAAAATTCCCATTAACACTCACTAAATCTCAAATCTTAATTAATACTAAGAGCATGATTACAGTGACAATTAAAACGTCAAGTTTAAATCAACTGTTTAATTATTCTGATTTTGGATTATTCGACGAGACAAGTGCCTTGAAAATTCGTCGATTTACCCCAGTCCTCTGCCTGAAAATCAATACAATGACGTCAATTTTTCTGATAATCCCTGAATAAAACAATCACAAAATAATTGTCTGGGAGATAAATGGAATGGAGAGTGCACGAAATTCTTGGAATAGTCGACAATGAATTGATGAAAAATTGAATAATTTTTCAGGCATTCGACGATGCGATCGCCGAATTGGACACATTAAATGAGGACAGCTACAAAGATTCCACATTGATCATGCAGCTGTTGCGTGACAACCTCACTCTCTGGACCAGTGACACGCAGGGCGATGGAGACGAACCACAGGAGCCTGGCGACAACTAACCCTCCTAAGATTAAGTCCTAATCCCCCTTTCTTAAACCTAATAAGAAACAAAAAAAACAACCATCCTATTCTCTATCGTTCCCCCACTCTCTCCCCTCCCGTTTTTCTCCAAAAAAAAAAAACAACAACAACAACACAATGAAAGAAAACCAGAAAGAGCTCGCAAGACCCCACATGTCCCACCCATCGCTCCATTCACAAATTTTTGTTCTCCAGATTATCGACAAATTGAAAAATCCCACCCCATCATCTCCCCCTGTCTCATTCTCCATAAATAAATTTCCTCGTTGTTCTCCGAGTTCATTTCCTCGTTCTTCTCCCAGTGGGCGATAATGATTCACATCCACACTTCCACCAGACAAAATGAAATGAACAAATCAATAAAACTCGAAAAAAGTTTAAAAAAAAAATATGAATTTAAAAGTCGCACCTGTCCCCGTGCCGTGTCGTGTCCTTGAAGTAAATTAATGTGCGACGAGATGAAACAAATTTAATAATTAAAAGAAATTAATGGAAATTAATAAATCGTGTTCTCTCTCTCTGCACGCAATCCAATGGACCAAAATGTTGTCATCATCCAATTGATAATGTTTTATTGAGCGATTATGGTCGAATTAACGTAAATATTGAATTTGATTAACCAGTGAGATAAAAAGGACATGACGGTTTTAATGCAAGAACAAATGATAATGAGAGGTGGATGGAGTTGGGAGGGGACGATGAAATGACCCTGTTGAGATATTAATCACCAAAAATTATTGAAAATGATAATTGGAAATGGTTGACGCGCGCGAGAGAGAAAGAGAACAGTTTTTTTTATTTGTAAAAGCGTGAGAAAATAAATAAGACGAAAAGAAAAAATTAAGAACTGTTTTTTTTTTTAAATGACAAGTAGGAATCAGGTGAATGGATATGTGAAGGTAATTATTGACGAACTTTTGTCTCCATGGAATAATATTCTCCCCTGGATGTTGAAATGGGACAGGATACGAGGATTTGATGACGAACGAGGGAATAGTAATTCAGTAATTAAAGAGATATGAATTTTAATAAAGAAAATGATTTACGAAACCCAGAGATAAAGCGAAAGATTTAAAATAACGCATCAAACTTTACTACATTATACCCAGTTTGTCATTAAATTAAATTTCACATTTGTCTAGAGAATATGAAATATTATTATACAGAAAGGTAAAGAGCATGAGGAAAATGGAGAGTTTGATAAATATTAAATTAAGTTATTATGTTGAAGTGGAAATAACGAACAGACAAAAGTGGTAACTTAATTTTTTCGCATTCGACTTATGATTAATTGATGAAATAACATGAAGGAGAATATTATTGATTGATATAAAAATGCTCACAATTTATCTCGTAAATGAGGCACGTCTTTTTCTCTCGCATTCGCTTTCCTTCCTTTTGCCTTTCTCCCTCAATTTTTCTTTTTTCTCTCGTCATTGTCCATTAAATATGAGAAATTCTGGCGTCAATTGGAATCACCGTGAGTCAATATCGAGACATCCAGACGATCAGGGAAGAATTATGATCAATGAGGACTCTCCAATTTATTTCAGAAATCGAATAAATTAATCATATCATCAATATTTCCTATTCGACTGCTTCGACTTCCACCGAGTCATTTGAACGTACCAAGACAGTGAAAATAAGTCGTAGATCATTGGATGATATCCTATTTCCTCGCCCACTCAATCCCAACTATTCTATTCGGTAGAATTTAAATCGTGGATATTTATACCGGAATAATTGTACGTAAATTCGTGTTACACATTGTTAATATGGTATAATAATTATCATGAAATAATGAGGAAATTACTGTGTGGCTGTGGTTAACGACTCATTGCTGAACACTTGAAAATTTCAACGTTATTCATCCGATTTTCAATCTCTCCTCATTTATATATCATTTTTAATGAGTGCTGTGGGATGACGCGTGTTGATGATTAAAACTAAGTGATTGATTAATGAAGAGATAAAACGATAAAACCAATGATCAATATGTCTGGACATTCGTCAATCGATCTACTAATTACCTCGACCCTGTCTCCAACGAATACAATTGTATTTGCTGTGCACGATAACGTTAACACGTGCGCTAATTGCTGTTAAAAAAATTGCTATTTATCCCTCATCCATTTTTATGTACATTACGGATGAAGAATCGCTATTGAATCGTAATTCGGATAAACGTTTCGCTGTCGTGTTGATATTTTTCGATGTATCGGTGTTTGTCGAGGGCAAGAGGAAGAACTGTCGATCCAGGAGAAATTATTATCGATAGGATAGTGCAAATTGTTGGAATTATTTATCGATTGTTCATATTCTTTCGTTGAGCCAGTGAATAATAATCTGGATTTCATCTTTTCGTTGGTAAAAAATTTATCGATATATCGAGTGAGAGATTATTGACTTATTGTTAACAATTGCGCTGTCATCCCTCTCAGGCAGATAAATAACAGCACTTTATTGAGAATTTAATTAATTATAGATAGAATATTGTGTGAGAAGGGAAGGCAAAAGAGCAACGGAAAATTCATCCATCGGCTTATGATTAATGAGGAGTGATAAATTAATGAGAGAAGAAAGTAACATCTGTACCCATTTTTTCCATTCGAATCCCTCGTCCCTCCCATTGCATCTCCCTATTATCTCATCCCTATTACCCTTTTCCGAAAAATTACGTTGTTCTATTTGTATTTATCATCAATCATCGTAATTGTAAATTATAATTATTATAAACGTTTACACGAAATAATAATAAAAATTCTGATAAAATGTCTGAAATATGATAGAAATTCAGAGTGAATTCAGTATGGTGGCGTGTTAATTTGAAGGGAAAGAGAGAGACAAGTGGATAATATTTTTTCATTATTTAATTATTAATTAAGTGCGGATTAATAGGGAACCGGTAAGTGGTGCACGTCGAATCAATTTTCCCCGAGTTTTTTTCCCATATCTCGGAATCTGAGGCAGATAATTCAATTTCTGTAATGACATTTTTTGTAGAGCTAATTAAGATCTACAAATTATGTTCTAATAAAAATTTTGTCATCTCCATTAAATTCGGCGATATTCACCGGAAATCGAGGAATAATGAAAATCGATTGATTCAATTTACTCTAATTTCCCCTCGTCTCTTTATTCTCTTCATCTACAGGAGAAAATAAAATGATTCGGGTCATTCAGAAGGAAGATGCAGAATTCGTTATAAAAAAAAAACAATCGCGTTGAATTATTGACGTTAATTGTTACTTTCATCTCATTTTGAAGGAAAAAAAAATTTTTTTTTCTCCATTACGATGAGTATTCATCACGTATTCGCAGATTATGTAGATAAATGTGCCTTTTCCTGACGAAGGGCCTATCTAATGACTAAAACAAGAGATTGATACGAAATAACAAAACGCTAAAAGGTTTTTGCACAATTTATACGAGTAGTCGTATGTATGATTTTTCGTCAAGTACCAGATCTTCCAGAATTTATTGATTTCAACCGGAGGTACTTCCCGGAGTGATTTTTTCAATGTACCTCCAACAGCTTCCTGCGGTAGATCCTACAATTGTTAATAACTCTAGTCTATCCAATTTGAGAAGTTATCAAGTTTTTTTGAAAATCGTTGCTGTCTCATTTTCGGTTCCTCAATTATCCCAGTCGCCTCTAGTTACCATGAATCTGAGAACAAAAAAAATTGAAATAAATTGACGTTGAGTAATAATTTGTGTAAATAAACTTCCAAGAGCGAAAGTCGTGATCCCAATTTTTTATCTTCCAATAGATTAGACGAAGTAGTTTCGTAGTTCCTGGGATTAAATTCCTCCAACAATCACAAAAAATAATGAAAGACTCGAAAAAGGTAAGTAATAATTAAGAACACCAAATACCTTTTGTATCTAAAAAAAAAACATTGAATAATTAAAACTGAATTAATGAATTAATTGTTAGAGAAGAGAATTTTTGATTTTCTCGGGTGTTCGGCTGATTCGGAAGTTTCCTGTGAGTTTTTAGGTGTCAATCTGAGCTAGATGATTCCTCACTGCCCCCTGATGGCTTCAACTGGCACCTGAGCTCCTAGGGATGACCTTGCCGGTGAGGGCAGGGGCTGGGGTAGCCCCAGTGGACACTAGTCAGACACGAGCAAATTGTAAGGTCACCTTCAGACGACTCAACGACGTGCAGGTGAATTCTGACAGCAGCTAACACCCGAAAATTCATTTCCGATTATTCCAAGGGCTTGATCATCATCGAGGACTCGATCCTCATCCCTTCGTCTTTGATTATTACCTGAGAGATCGGTGAGTCTTCATTACTGTTGTGATAACGACTGTCTTATCGCGTCCTGTCAATCATTTCAATTGTCTCGTTTGAATTTTTAATTTTATTCGAATTTGTCGGCATTTTTTGGAGGTCCTGGGGAATTCTTCTGGAATTTTTGGGTCCGGTTTCAGTTATTATTTCGATTGGCAATTACAATTCGATGGACACGGTTTATCACTTTAACTTGAACTTTGGAGCACAATCAAAAATTTTTTTTTAAACTTGGCAGCCAATATCGGATCTGGTTCAGTGTCAAGTATCACACAGTAGACATCAGCAGTTCTGACAATTGACGAATGATCATTATTTTTTAGTTCTGATGATGTAATTTTTGAATTGCTATGGCATGCCGAAATTCTCAGTCTCTGTTTTTTTATAGAACTCCTATTCAGTGGATAAATAATAAGATTCATTCCCTGTGGATTAAAATTCAGAAAATAGTTATGATTTTGTCTCATAAATTTGAATACTCTGCTCCTCTGGGGACGACTCCTCATCTGTCCTCGAAATTGCATCAGTCACGTGTCGATAGCCTCTCCCAGAATTTTTTTTACAATATCTAACACAAACAAAGTTCTATTTCTGGATGACGAAATCATCACGTTCGCAATTGGTTATTTTTTCTACCTCCTGGAAATCTCGGGGTAACCTTGACCGTAAATTTCACTCTGTCACTCGTCGAAGTCTGAATCCTCGGAAATAAAATTCCCTCGACGAAGAGTTTTGAGGACTGAAGTTTAAATTGCCGATTATTCCCTGAATTAACTTGATCTTGACATGCACCCCGACCTAGTTTTATTATTCACTTTAGATACATTGAATCGACAAAGTGCAATTGATAATAGACTGGAGTAAAATGCAATTCAATACAAAAATTGGAGAATCGAGAATTCATGAGGATTATCAATTCTCCAGTTATCCAGTTTAGAGAATTTAATTTATTTGCCAATTTGAGAGAAATTCCGAATGAGGGAGTAGAAATGAGAGCAGAGCAAGGAGAAGAAAAGGGTCAAGCCCATAAAAACTGAGATTTCCATTTTGAATGAATTCCAGACGATGGCCGACCACACTTTCAAGAGCATCCTAGCTGAGGAGCAAGCCGCCACGAAATTCATCAAACCTGGCAGCCACAAGGGCAAGGGCCTGGCTGTCTTCACCAGTGGTGGTGATTCCCAGGGTAAGAAAAAATTATTCCAATTTATCCAACCACTTACCATCACCCATTTATTCTTCCAATTGAATGATCCATTAATCTGTAAAATTTATTTACTCTCCTCATTGAACTGAAATAAAAATTCTCTTCTGGAATTGATTCTATAATTTTTTTACTACAGGAATGAACGCAGCAGTTCGTGCAGTTGTGCGAATGGGAATCTACCTGGGGTGCAAGGTCTTCTTCATAAAGGAGGGGTACCAGGGGATGGTGGACGGTGGAGAGCACATCGTCGAGGCAACCTGGTCCTCAGTTTCCTGCATAATCCACAGGGGAGGGACTGTGATTGGTTCAGCTCGTTGCTCAGATTTCCGGGAACGTGAGGGCCGCAAGAAGGCAGCTAAAAATCTAGTTACAAGGGGAATATGTAATCTGGTGGTTATTGGAGGTGATGGATCCCTCACTGGAGCTAATCTCTTCAAGGAAGAGTACCCCAGTCTTCTCCAGGATCTCGTCAAAGGAGGTAATAATAATTATTCGGACAACAAGCAATCAATCATCATATTAATCAACTCAATCATTCCAATTTATTGAGATCTCTGTTCTTGCATTGTCATTTCTCTTTTAATCACTGGAAATATTTTTTCTGCTTCAGGTGACGTGACAGCTGAACAGGCAGAAAAATACAAACACCTGCACATCGTGGGAATGGTTGGATCAATTGACAACGATTTCTGTGGTACAGACATGACAATTGGCACAGATTCTGCTCTGCATCGTATCATCGAGTCCATCGATGCAATTGTCAGTACTGCCTACTCCCATCAGCGGACATTCATCATGGAGGTGATGGGTCGTCACTGCGGGTGAGTCTTTACCCTCAGGATTTATATTTTTTATTTAATCAATTTATTGTGGGATCGGTTAAAGGAGAAATTACAGGACGAAATTTAGATTCAAAATTAAATGTAAAATAAAATAATCGAATTTGGATAGGTACTTGGCTATTGTCGGGGCTTTAGCCGCCGAGGCGGACTACGTATTCTTCCCAGAATCTCCACCCCCAGCTGATTGGCCTGATAAACTATGTAAAAAGTTGGAGCAGGCATGTCAAGCAATTTTCAAAGATCTATTGTATTATCGTTTACCTTTGCCCATTATTTGTTTCAACATTCACTAACTGATGTACTAACGAAGAAAAACCGTTATTTTGTGGTACATTATTTCCCTCATCGTCTTGACGCTTGAATTCTATTATTTTTTATCTATTTTAGAATAGGCACATGTTTTTGAGAAATTAATCACTGGATTGATTTGATTTTTTGTGGTAATCGGAGAGGGAAATTTCAGGTACTTGGCGTTGGCCACGAGCCTTTCCTCCGACGTCTGTTTTGCATTTATCCCCGAAGATCCACCTGGATTTGACTGGGAAAATCGAGTTTGTGAAGCATTGCTACAGGCACGTCTACGTTTTCTAAATTAAAATTATTACTCGGAACTTTTTATCTTCATTTTGAAAATTCTGGGGATATTCTGCTAGAGTACATTCGCACATCAGTAAGCTAAAGATAATTTTAAAAAACCCAGAGGGTGGGAATTTCATTTTAATTATCGAAGTAAGTTATTTCAGACATCAGCATCAATTCTCCATTTTTCCATTCACGAGTGAGCGGCAGGACCCTTTTAGAATCCATGAATTCCTCTTGATAATTAATAACGGTGTGTAGAGGTATAAATTAGGTATGAAAATATGAAATTCCAGTTACCTGGCACTCGTGGCAGCCATGTGCTCCGAGGCTGACTTTGTCTTCATACCAGAGTGGCCACCGGAGGGAGACTGGCCCAACAAGCTCTGCAAAAAATTATTGCAGGTTCGATTTATATTTTTTTTTTCCCCAACGAGAGACAACTCATTCCTTGAGAGTTTCAGGAGGCAAGAGTGTAAATTGTTTAGAATCAAGTAAGGCCTTCAGCTGCTTCGTCGTGTAATTGGCATGCTTGTGAAGTTTGTTTTTATTTAGATGAAATCACTCATCAAATTGATTATCCATTAACGAAACTAAGAACTCCCGTTCATTATCATCTCCATGTTTTTTGTACTCGTAATGAAGACGAGGCTCTTGATTTTTTTCTTATTTTTGCCACCCTCTTGAGACAGAAGAGAGCAATTACCCCTGGTCAATTGATTTTCAATTATTAATCTTGGATTTTGATCAGGAACGTCTGACTGGTCAACGCCTGAACATCATAATTGTGGCTGAAGGTGCAGTGGACAGGAATGGCGATCCCATAACAGCGGAGAAAGTCCACAAGGTGGTGGTAGATAAATTGCAGCAGGACACGAGGATCACGGTATTGGGTCACGTCCAGAGAGGTGGAAATCCATCGGCATTCGATCGTGTCCTGGGGTGCAGAATGGGTGCTGAAGCTGTGATGGCCCTGATGGAGGCAACACCTGAGACCGAGGCCTGTGTCGTGACTCTCGATGGCAATCAGGCTGTCAGATTGCCCCTGATGGAGTGCGTCAGACGTACGAAGGCTGTGGCTCAGGCGATGGCTGACAAAAATTGGGATCTGGCAGTTCAACTCCGTGGAAAGTGCGTAAAACCATCTGAATTTCATAAATAAAAAATCGACAAGTAATTTTAATAAATTATATAATTGACTCCAGGGGCTTTGCACGTAATTTGGAGACGTACAAGATGCTGACACGCCTGAAGGCACCCATTGGCGTCCAGGATGGCAAAGTGAGTAGAAGTAGATGTTGAAGGAGGAGAGTTGAGATTTTTTAGATAGTCCTGTGGAATTAAAACGGTCCCACCGGTTTCATCCCATCCTAGTGTTCTAGAGACACTAATTAATTAGATGCAACATTAAATTTTCTCTGTTTTTATCATGCTCCAGGAGCACCATGGGCACATGTTATCTAAGGTAATTAACTCGTGCTCTCCCAAGCCCAATTAATTCTGTAATATCTCGAATAATTGTCAATTTTTTGTGTAGCAACACACACTGTGTGGCCAAGTAAGTGAACACTATGTTGCACGTCATTATAGAATGCACGAATTTCGAGAAACCCGAACGATATTAATTATTAATTTTGTTTTTACCCAAATGTTGGCACTAATTTCCGCAGTAATAAATTTTAATTCTAGACAGCTTGTGTTTTTTTTTCCAGATTTTTTGTTGCATAGAAAAAAATTTTAACTGTTTGTATTTTGTTCTGAAAATTGTTGTCCATTGGCTTGACTAATAATTCGGTCTCCAGGACCACTATACCCTAGCAGTAATGCACGTGGGTTCTCCATCCTGTGGTATGAACGCCGCAGTGCGATCCTTCGTGAGAAATTGTATCTACAGAGGAGATAAGGTCTACGGAATCTGCGATGGAGTGACAGGTCTTGCTGCGGGTCAACTGAAGCTGATGGACTGGCCCTCAGTGACAGGTTGGGTAGCTCAGGGTGGTGCCTACCTGGGGACCAAACGAGCCCCTCCTAAGGACGAGCAACTACCCCAGATAGCAGCTAAACTCAGGGAATTTGGTATTCAGGCTCTCCTCATCATCGGTGGCTTCGAGGGCTATCAGACAGGGCTGACCTTCACGGCAGCCAGGGAAAAATACGACGAGTTCAAGATCCCCATAGCTATGATCCCTGCTACCATCAGTAATAATGTCCCTGGGACTGAGTTTTCACTGGGTTGTGATACAGCCTTGAATGAAATCACTGAGATCTGCGATAGGATTCGTCAGTCAGCCCAAGGTACGAAGAGAAGAGTTTTTATTATTGAGACCATGGGGGGATATTGCGGATATTTGGCGACACTAGCTGGTCTGGCTGGAGGTGCTGATGCCGCCTACATCTTCGAGGAGAAATTCAACATCAAGGTAGAGTTATAAATCCTCTGACAATAATTATGAATGCAAAATTATGTGGACTCAATGATTTATTATTTCGGTTCTGAAGGATCTGAACCAGGACGTCATCGCCATGGCAGCTAAGATGTCGGAGGGTGTCCAGAGGGGTTTGATCCTCAGGAACGAGAACTGCAACTTGAATTATAACACTGACTTCATGCAGAGGCTGTTCAGCGAGGAGGGCAAGGGTCTTTTCAGCTGCAGATCCAACATAATCGGGCACATGCAGCAGGGCGGCTCCCCCACACCCTTCGATAGAAATCTGGGGACAAAAATGGGGGCTAAAGCTGTCGAGTGGTTCAGCGATCAACTGAAGAAATGCACCACTCCAGAGGGAAAAACATTAGCCACCACTCCTGATACAGCTGTTATGTTGGGAATCATCAAGAGGCAGTACAGATACACTCCCTTCTGCGAGCTCAACGACGTCACCGATTTCGAGCATCGAATCCCCACGTACCAGTGGTGGATAAAGCTTCGCCCACTGTTGAAGGTACTCGCCAAACACGAGTCCACGTACGAGGAGGAGGGACTCTACATCACTGTCGAGGAAATGGAGCTCGAGGACGATCCTCTAGTTTAATTTACCTATTTTTTGGGTCTATTTATGATTGTTGTGTCGGTTTAGTGTTCGTGTGATGCAGGATAGGAGAATTAATGCACAGTATTCAGATGGGGCATCACTGTATCCAATTTTTATGATAATCTATCGATTTTTATGATTTTACTTTTCTTGGCTAAAAGAACAAATTGTTTTTTTTTTCTGATTATTGAAGTCATTCGGAAATCTTGCTCAGTCGATTTTTCTTTTTCCTATGTGATAAATTCACTGTTTATGGAGGCAATATTCGGCTCTTCATGTTCTGTCGCTTCATTATAGTTAAGACTTGTGGGTACGACGTAGGAATAGGCTTTGATTATTATTTTGACCAAACGTTTGATTTAAACTCTCACTCGAAACCTGTTGAAGGGCTACTTGGAGAATATACTCGTCTACCTCAATTAAGGAGAGAAATAATTGATGGAAAATCTGTTGGTAAACGATTAATTGCTGCCTAAATGTGGAAGCCACCTGTAGTTCAATGACGCAGAGAGTTTTCCCAGTGAAATTCTCTGTTGTATCATAAACGAGAGGGTGAATAATATTTTTATTACACTCATTCTGGAGATTTAATAATGAACAGACAATAGCACTGTTGCAAATAGTTGTGTTGAATTTTTTAAACCGTTGAACATTTTGAGAGCGAATGCCCTAAATTCGATATGAGCGATTAGATATTTATCTGTAATAGGATATCGTAAGAGTTATGCCCTCGTATAGAAAATTTGAGAATGTCGTAACGTAAATTGACACTCGATCCTTCAACTTTTAGAGTGAAAAGATGTTTATTCAGTTCAAATCATGGACTTGACTCGAATTATTAAAGTGAGAATAAAAATGCATCGAGGTGTGTATATTAGCCAATTAGCCAATACCGACGTAACGATTGACTCGTTGCACGATAAATTGAAAAATTCTTGTAGTTACAGGTGATAAATTTAGATAACACAAACGTAATGTAATCCACAAGTGCGAAAAACGAGGGAAATAATTACCAGAGGATAATATATATTTTTGGCTCATTGTTGATCAATGATCGTACGCTTTAGTCATCGAAAATAATAGTATTACTACATCTACGGTATTTATTTCGTTTCACTAATATCCTGTCGGAGTTATCGTACGTGAATTATTGAATGAGAGACAGTGAAGAGATGTTGGAAGGAGAGCACGATCATGTCCTGATTTATGATGATTGCATCTTAGATAATATAAAATATTATCGAATAAAGCATGTCCTATTCTGATTTTTCATGACTTCTATTCAATCATTCAATCCCGAAACGCAAAAAAAAATGAATAAAAATCGATAATGAATTTCAAGCTGTGTTGAATATTGATTTATCTCGAGATCTATTGATTTCAGGAGAAAGTATCAAGAAACTTTTTTTGTTGGAAATTTAATCCATCACAAAAAAGTCCTCGGGCGTTTTCGTCTTAGATCGCTGGTTGTCGAGATAAAAATTTTAATTGAGAAGTTTTAATTTTGAGAGTTTTAGTTTCAAATTTTGCGGGAAAATTGGTGGGTTAAAAAATTTTTGAATGTGTGTTGGATTGAAATTCCCTGCTTGGATGATTATTTTGACTCACGTGGTGCCAACCGAGCAATCAGAGAGATCAGAGATCGGCCACTTGGGCAGTGTTGGCGTCTCTGTTCTGTATGTGTGTCAATGTCCTAGAAGTTGTACGCACCTTCGTCCGCGTCAATCAACGGTGCCGGCTGCATTTGCCCCTCGATCCGTCAATTGAATCGTAAGGATGGTTGCCATCAAAGGGAGAAAGACATCCAACAAAAATCCACCGATTCTCAGTCATGAATTCATCATTCAGAATCATGCTGACATCGTGTCGTGCGTGGCGATGGTTTTCGTCGTCGGACTTATGGTCCAGGTGAGTTAATATTTCAGATACATTTCACATTCAATAATTCCTCGTCAAAGAAAAATACCATCCACAAGAACATGAATCACTTGCTCGTTATACATCAGCCTTAATCGATACAAAAATTAATTAACACATTCAAAAAATAAAAATGACAAGTCCTGGAGTTTGTAAAGTGATCTGGAGGTGCTCCATGAGCTCCATATGTTGTCTTGATTTCTGAGAAAGGTCATCATTCGAAGATAACCATGACCTCAATGATAAGGGCATTTAAAATATTTTAAAAAGTCAATTTCCTTCACTAGAGATTAAATTTTGACTATTTTGTAATGCACAATTTTCTAACTATTTATTTATCTCAAAAACTATCGACATTCCGAAAAAATCATGAAAAAATTTTTCATAGCTGATTAAATTTTCTACGAAAAAGTTCTTTTGACATTTCCTCATAAACTCGATAATTTAAGAGATAAATCAGTATCAATTTTGATATTGTCCTGAATTATTCTCCTGAAATTAATCTGATGGTTCACCAGGTGACGTCGCCCTGGGCATACACATTCATAGCCCTCCACCACAACGTCTCCGAGAGCACCGAGCCAGATGCCCCCTGGCAGCCTCCGAAATACTCGACAGGATGGAAGGACGCCTGCGCCGTCTTCTTCTACTTCCTCATCACAATTGTGATGCATGCAGTCATCCAGGAGTACATCCTGGACAAAATATCAAAACGCCTCCACCTCAGTAAGATCAAGCTAGCGAAATTCAACGAGTCCAGTCAGCTCCTGGTGTTCTACGTGCTGTCAGCAATCTGGGGGATCGACATCATCATCAGAGACAATCTGGTCCTGGACATCAATTCCCTCTGGTTGGATTACCCCAGTCTTATGTCCTTCTCCTTGAAGCTTTTCTTCGTGGGACAGATTGCCTACTGGCTCCACTGCTACCCTGAGCTGTACTTCCAGAAGATCAAGAGGGAGAGCATTTCCAAGGTCGTCGTTGAGGCCACTCTTGGCTTGGTCTTCACCCTGGCTGGATATCTCCTCAATTTCCAACACATCACAGTTATTCTCCTCGTCGTGCACTTCCTCGGAGATGCTCTTCAGCATGGAGCTCGTCTTGTTCACATTGTTTACCGCAGAGAACAAACAACAAAACGTGAGTAATGATTTATCTCAAATAAAATCATATCAATTATTTATTATTAATCTTCTACACTCGATTAATTTTCCAGTGGCTTTTGGCGTCGCAAACTCCATCTACGTCTTCTGCAGGATCTCGACAATCCTCTTCTCTCTTCTGTTCTATGTCTACGGTCTCAGCCAGGTGGAGAGCACGTTGGACATCTCAGCAGGCAATTTCAATATTCCAGCGATAAGATTTTCCGCATTTGGTGCTGTAGCTCTTTTCCAAATTTACCTCGTCTATGCATTTAGCCAGAGGCAGATGCAGAGAGCTCGTGAGAATGGTGGCCCAGTGGTGTCCAAGGCCAAGCCCAAACAGCAGAAGCCCAGGAAGAAGGAAGGGAAAAAATCAGCTGCATCTGAGGATGACGACCTGCCAGAGGTCGATCAGGCAACCAAGAAAAATCTTCGATCTCGATCCGTCAAGACTAAATAAATTATTTCCAGAGGAATATTTTATTTCAAGACTCATTTCCTCTCTCGAGGAACACACGACATATTCCCATTCCTCTCGACCACCGAAAGACCCCCTTTATATTTATTTTTAACAGTGAAAACAACTCGAGATAAATATCACTCTTTATTATTACGTCCAAGCGAAACCGAGGGTAGCTCAATTATTGTGTAAATATTTTCTATGAACGGGAAAGAGGAATGGCCTATAAAATTACGATTATAATAACATGATATTAAAATTTTCTTAACGAAGAAATGATTAGTAAATGGGTTTATGCAATAATGAAGATGAAAATGTAATGAGTTAATAAATTCTTTATTTTTTGAAATAAAACCGCAGTTTTGTTAACTCCCCAAAAATCTATTCTCTTTTTTAACAATTATTAATCAACTAATTGGAGTTCTAATTGATAATTAAAATTCTGAAATTTCCTGGCATTGATTAAAATAATGTATGGACCAGTTCAGACAATTTGAATTTAATTTTGTGATAACTGCGTAATTTATGGTTAGGTTCGTAGTCAACTGATAAGAACCGGGATGTCCCTCACAGCTCTTCCCCTGGTTTCGCGGCTCTCCAAGAGGGTCATCAGGATATTGGGATGCAATCCTGGTGTGATGACACTCCAGGGGACCAACACCTACCTAGTTGGCACAGGTAAAAGGTGAATAAAGCATATCGATCTTATAACACTCAATCCCTGAAGATTGCCTCAAGAAATTAATTTGTAAAAAATTCCCATGATTTGATTGAACTCTAGTCGAGTATTAATCGACGCTGGAGACGAGCACACGTCAGCAGAGTACACGAAGCTCCTGAAATCAGTCCTGGAGGAGGAGAAGACGACGATATCCCACCTGCTGATCACCCACTGGCATCACGATCATATAGGAGGTGCGAAGGACGTTCAGAACCTCATAAAGTCCTCGTCGAACACAGCTCCAGCAGTCTGGAAGCTCCCCCGATCTCCGGAGGATCAGCAACCAGAGGAATACCCCGTGGAACTGAATCTCCTGGAGGATGAGCAGTCGTTCGAGGTCGAAGGCGCCAAATTAACGGTAAAACACACCCCAGGGCACACAACAGATCACGTGTGTCTCGTCCTCCAGGAGGAAAATGTCCTCTTCAGTGGTGACTGCATCCTGGGGGAGACAACAGCTGTCTTCGAGGACCTCAAGGACTACTTGACGTCTCTCGATAAAATCCTGGGATTGAAAAACTCGGTTATCTACCCTGGGCATGGACCAGTCGTCGAAGATCCAACGCCGAAAATCCTGTATTACATCGAGCACAGGAGGAAGAGGGAGGAGGCAATAGTTCAGGTGTTGAAAAATACTGACAAGTCCCTGGATGAGATGGAGATCGTCGGGTTTATATATCAGGAGACGCCCAAGGACCTTTGGCCAGCGGCCGCCGTAAACGTCAAACATCATCTGCAAAAGCTCCTGAAGGAGGAGAGGGTGTCCACGGGGAGAGATAATAAATGGACGATTGCATCCTGATAATTACCAATTAATTAAATAATACCTGATAACGTCAATAATCTTTTTATTCCATTATTCTGTAATAAAATATATTATATTTTTCTTCTTTCTATTTTTATATCGACCTCATTAATATGAGGAGGTGATTAATGAGTAGCTATTAAAACATTAATTATCATTTTCATAAAACATTCACATTGAATTTCATCCACGACCCGGCAGCGCTCGTATTCTCTTATATTTTAGATATTTTCATGCTGTTGGAGTCACTCGGGAAGTGCGCATGCGCCAAGACTCCGGCGGAGCGCCATTTTGGACGCTACCAAGCGTTCCGTCAGTCTTTTGTTTGGCGCGCATGGGAGAAGTTCGGAGGCCGCATATCCCGCCAAAGAAATTGAATACGGGATAATGGAAGGTAAAAACCGCGGGAAGGTGGTCTCCTACTCGAGAAAAAGGTTCAACAGTGTCGTAGAAATAAAAAAGAACGTGATTAAGTGATTGTGAAGTGATTATAAAGTGATTGTGAAGTGATTCAAGGAATTTTCAACGTGAAAATCATCACTCGGATTGACTGGACAAGTTCAGTGTAAATGTGAAGTGACCTGGACGTGCTTTGTGTTGCAACCGAGGATTTCGGAGGATTCCTGAAAGGTTTTTACATTTTTAGAACAATTTATTCTGCGGGAATATTTTTTCCAATCTTTTATTTAATTTGGCGACGCCGGAAGGGGTGGTAGGCGGAAAAAATATCCCACACACCCAAAACGTGTTAAAACCCACCCAATTTGATAGACCATAGGAAAATTAGAGTCCCTGAAAAAATAGACAACGAAAAAAATAATTAAATTGAGCGAGTTTTAACACGTTTTGAATGTGTGGGATATTTTTTCCCTGGGATATTTTTTCCGGGATTCGGAAGGGGTGATTAGGCCATCAGGAATTTTCTCGAAAAAATTCCCATGAGTCTTTTGCTGTGAAACATTTATTCAAGTAATTACGAATAAATTCGTGATACATGCTCTTCATTTACTCCAACTGCTCGATAATAACGAAAAAACAATGGTATTCTTTAATTTCCGAGTTACCCAATGATGTGCACCGAGTGCTACACAAACATCAATTTTCAATAACGTTGTAAACCATCTTGGATATTTACGAACGATAACTTTAGGCGGTTTTTTTAATAAATTTTGCAGGCACGGATATCTATACACAAAATTATCACCATCGTCCAGTGGAATGAGGTGATTATTCAATAAATATCTCCGTCAGTTGATAAGAAAAAAATGAATGGAAGCTCCACTTTCGGTCATTTTTTTATAATTATTTATAATTAGAAATATAAAATTGTCAGGACTTTTATATCACCTCCTCATTCCACTCGACGACGATTTACTTAACGGTATACAATGAAAATTTGATTATGCTCTTCAACTTTGACTCATCATTTTCTTATACTGCGTACAAAGATTATTAGACGTTCATAACAGATACAAAAAATAGTTCTAGAAATATAGCATTTAATTCTGAATTCATCGGGTGCACCTGCACTCGAGCAGCACTCGTGCAGAAAATTTTCAATGAAAAATTAATTTCTGGATAATTTTTCTCACGAGTGCAATCCGGAAAATTTCTAACCGATCAATTTCATTACATCAATGTAAGAATTTCACTCCTCTCTTTGGGTAAAACGTAAAAAAAATATATACGCGGATATTCCAATGGATTCGTATCACTCAACTCGTATCGACATATAATATAATCTCTGTGTTGCACTTATCGTTTTTCACTTCATCATTACTAGGCGTTGAAAAAACATCAACATAAAATCACAATGATATTTCTTTATAATCAGTATTATTCAACAACAAATTAAAAATAATAATAAACAAATAAGAAAAAAAAACATAATTCAGGAGTTAAGTAGAATAACAAGATGACTGGGTAGTTCAGAGAAGAGGGATTACGAGTGAAAATTAATGGATATTATCGCGATAATTGTTTAATTCCGGAGGTATTGATTAATTCGAAATGACGGGAGAGAATTATTCTTGATGATATTCAGTTATCTCATCTTCCTATTCCACTCAATCACAAAATTCATCGTAAAAACAATGTCAAACACGTAATAATGATTCATTCAATATTTTAGTAATGAAATCAAGTCAATAATTATACCAATAATTCATACAATCTTAAGGTACTTGTTAGCGTTATAATTAACCACTCACAATTATTATTTCTCGTCGTTATGACACAGTAACTGCCTGTTCCTCTAGAATTTTTCAACAAAAATTTAACACTTCATTTAAAACTCAACATCAATCAGAAGATTGTACTCCAGTTGTGAATTCTCCCCAGAAAATATTCTCACTAAAATTTCGCATCCGCTCTGAACTAAAATTGACTCAAATCCTGATAAATCAGTTGTGAGGAACATTTATCCACCAAAGGCACCTGACAAGTCGATTAAATCCGATCAACCACTAAATTATCATAGCTCACTTAATAAAAAAAAATGATGATAAGAATTTGTCGCGCTATTTTCAGTAACTCGCGCCCGTCTTGACTTAACAGTAGAATATATCCATGATTTTAAATTACGAAGCGGGCGACATTAACGAATAATCCCTCCCAATAAAAATTTTCGATTTTCCCTCGTCACCGTAGAATTAATACAATCAGTAATCAAATAAATTTCGATTCAATTGAAGGAGATTAACTCGAGCTCGTAGTTGATTTCC